CGGTGTGCACCTGACGGACGTGAGCGGTCAGGAAACCCCTTGTCTGGAAAGCCTTCGCACAACCCGTCCATTCGCACCGGAATTTGTTGACCACTTTGCGGGGTTTGGCGTCGGGATTGTGTGCTTTCGACAGCTGATGGATCCGTAGGTTCGGCGCCGTATAATAGGCTTTATCACAACCGGCGATATCGCAGGGAAAGGGCGGCGCTTTCATTGTGTGTCTCATTTTGTGTATATTAAGTGTGCTTCGCGTGAGTGTCTCGAAGTGGCAGCCATTTTGGTCGCATTTAAACCTCTTGGACGACGTGTGGATGTATTGATGCATTTTCAAGTAGGGAAGTGTTGTGAACCGTTTGCCACAACTGTCGCACCCGAACGGCCGCTCCAGAGTGTGTTTGAGCCGTATGTGAGCCATGAGTTGCACTCTCTCGCAGAACCGACGGTCGCAGTCAGAGTAGTCGCACACGTATTGCTTCGGTCGGAAGCGCTTCCGTTTTAGGCCAATCATCGACTCGTTTTGTGTCAAAACACTTTCACCACTTCTTTCGCTTTTCTTTACGTATTTTCTCTTTTTATGAACGCTTTTGTCATCCATTTCTTCATCACTTAAAGTCTGTTCCCATTTGTGGTCAGAATTATCCTCCGATTCATCGCTTTTTGTCTTCTTTTGCTTTTTATGTCTCCCTTTTGTTGTTGTCTTCGCTTTATTGCCATTTAATCTCTTCTTTGGTTCACTTCTTGTGTCCAATGATTGGATGAGTTGTCGGACACTGTGTTTGTTGTCATCTCTGGAAGTGATGTCTTCGGGCACTGGATGTGCATCGAGTGATGTGTTGAATGACTTGATATCATGTGTGAAAGTGTGGTAAATGTGTGTCAATTGATTCCACGTNTTGAATGACTTGATATCATGTGTGAAAGTGTGGTAAATGTGTGTCAATTGATTCCACGTGTGTTTGTGTCCACTATTTTGAGGACAAATACAGTTTGCATTCAAACTAATCACGAATTGTCTGTACTTTTCAAACAAATCCATTATTTTGTGACAACTTTTCAATTCATATAAAAGTCTTGTGTTTTCAGTCCAGAGCTCTTCCAACACATCATTCACTCCTATTTTAGGCATAATTTCAATACAAATCAAATCAAAACCTAATAATCAAATCAATGTCTGGTTTTAAAGCCACACAAAAGTGTTTACATTTATAGTACGATAAATATTCAACTCATAGGTTGTCATAACAACTGCTCAGACAAACAACACGTGACTTCAAATGTAACACAAAAACAAAATACAAACAACTTTTAAATTGTGTCACAAATTGAGTCCAAAATTACAATCAAAACCAATGAAACCCAAAATCAGTGCCAAAACGAGTGAATTAAAGACAAAGACATTGAGAAATGAGTTGAAAAAATTGAAATCAATATTAAATGCAAAACAAAAACTGTTGAATACTTTGCGACAGAAATGCAAACGATTTGCCATTCAATGCAATTGCCATCAAAACCAACACAAGAGGAACCGTTTGCTCGACTTTTGTCACCGATTGGACGGACTGTCGGCTCAAGACATCACTGATGGCGAGCGCCAACTGATCTCAACCGACGGGACCATCAAATGGGACCAATTCTTGGCCGACAACTCGACCGCTGCGGTCGAACGCGTGGACAACAGGACCTACCGATGCGTTGAATGCGACAAATCGTATCACTATTTGTCTCAATTGCGAAGACATCTGATCCGCCACTCGGAGGACGTGCGGCGCTATCAGTGCCCGAAGTGTCACAAGACGTTCAAATGGCGCGAAGGCCTGAAGAAGCACGTGATGTACAGACACGACAATCTGCGACCGGAGAAGACTGTCCGCTGCGCCGCACCGGCGGACGAATGCGACAAATGGTTTCGACACGTGTTTCAGATGAACCAACACTACCGGCAACGACACAGCCGTCCCATAAGATATCGGTGCGAATACACCGACTGTGCCGTCGATTGTGACGGCTTTGTAACCAAACACGAGTTGGACCGACACATCCGGTTGGAGCACATGAACGCCCGACCCCTTCACCGCTGCGAAGAGTG